CCTCAACACCCCACCTGAGCATCAAATCCTTAATTTCCCTCCCAAACCTGCTCCTCCTCCCCTCATCTCCTCCATCCAGGATGCCCATCACCCAGTCACAGGGGCTGTGAGCCCTGGAGGTGCTGTGGTTCAGCAGAAAGAGCCCGGAGCACTAGGCATTGAATCCTGCTGCTGCCTCTTACTAGCTCTGTTTTAATAAGAGGGAAAGAGGAGAGTGGTAAGGATGTGCCAAGACCTTACAGAACATGTTCTTGAGCTCTTACATGGGCCACAGACCTTGAGCATCTCTTGCCCGAGGGCTCTCTGGGGCCTTAGGAGACCTGTCATGGTGCAGGGTTGGCCCAGACTTTCCTGACAGCACACAGGGCATCAGGAGCTGCCTTTAGGGTGGATCTTAGAGGTGGAGGACCATCCTATACAGATAGGAGTGGCCAGAGCCCCACAGGTCCTCCAACATCCCTCCTTCTGCACATGGGGAAACTGAGGCTAGAGGGGAAGTGCCCTGTCCAAATACCCCCAGTGGATTAAAAGCAGATGCGAGATTTGTGCTCAAACATCCTGACTCCCAGCCAACAAAACCCTGAGAGCTCCCTTTTGAATTATTCAGGGTAATTCTTTCCTCTGCCTTGTCACCCCCACCCCAAGCAGACCTCCAGAAGGGACAGGGAGCCCCCCAGAGAGAGCCTTACCTTCCGACTGTTGGCCTTGCCATATCTCAGATCGTTGACAAAGTGCTCACGCTTCCTGTTCAGAATACCATATTCCATCTCCTTACCAACCATCTCCTCCGCAGAACTGATAATCTTGTTCACGGGCAGTGGCGAGTACTCCAGGTCCAAGTGGTTGTTGATCCGATAGCTGCAGCCCCCCACCACGTCACTCAGGAGCTCCCTTTTCACCTTTCCTCTGGGGCTCAGCACGGAGGACATGCTGGAGGAGCCGGCCCCAGGGAACTCATCTGGAATCAGACACAAGAGTATCAGGAACTGCAGGGGGAGGCCTGGGAGGGAGAGAGGACGCAAGGCAGGGAGGAAAGGCCAGGGGATCACAGTATTGAGCTTTGGTGTCTGTCCCTTCACCAATATGATTGGAGGATTCAGTGATTTTGCTCTTTTCCTTAAGGAGCTGTGGATACTTTTCATGTTAATCAATGTTGTGATGGTCAGTGGCTGCCACTGTGTTCCATTGTATGAATGGACATCATCTAGTTGACCAAGTCCCTGTTATTGGCTGGTCCCTAGCTTATCCATTGTAAACAATGGTAGTAAATTGTATTTGTTCATCTTTGCTCTGTGTGTTTCAGAAAGAGATCAAAGTTGTTCTAGACCCACTGTGTTTCAGACTCTGCTGTGCAAATTTCATATATTCCCTCACTTATTCTCCTTTTGAACGTCATGGTAAATTCTCTCATCTCCATTTCACAACCGATATTGGACCCTGAGGCATCATCAGCCTTTTCTGGCAGCTCTGGCCACATGGAGAGTCCACACAGCACTTCCACATGGTGGCGTCCAAAACCCTGTTGCCCGGGTTTTGCTCTCTAAGAGGAGGGAACTAAAGAGCACACAGCCCTAGCTGGTTTGGCTCCGTGGATAGAGCCTGGATTTGTGGACTGAAGGGTCCCAAGTTGGATTCCCCTCAAGAGCACATGACCGGGTTATGGGCTGGATCCCCAGTAGGTGGCGGCAGGAGGCAGCCGATCAATGATTCTCTCTCATCATTGATGTTTCTATCTCTCCCTCTCCCTTCCTCTCTGGAAATAATAAAAATATATTACAAAAAACCCCAAAACAACAACCCACAGTAACCAGCAGGCTCCTTTATGTGCTGAGTCTGAGGCTGAGGCTGCACTGAGCACCCGTCCTTGAGGAAACACCACCTGCACTCACACAGCAGGACCCGGTCCTCACACTCACGCTCCCTGTTCCCAGCCTCCTAAGTGTCGTCTGCATTAGGTGGGTTTCGCTTACTATTTGCCATCCATTCTGACAGTTTTCCACTCTGTCAGTGTAGGTGACAGCGTACAGAACCTGGTCAGTGACAAGCAGATTCCTCTGATCGTGAGACGGTTTCTGTCCAGCGAGAACACAAACGCTTGCTGTCCGAGGTGTGGGTGCCATTGCTCTGCAGGGCACCAGCCCCTGTGCTCCCAGTGCGCGGTCTCATCCCAGCACCTTTCTCTCATGGACGATACACAGTGTGGGGCCTGTCTGCTCCTCTGACCGGCTGTCATCCTGCTTCTGCTGTCCCTGCGTCCATCAAGGTTCCAGGTGCTCGTGTGTGTCTGTGTGAGACTCTGTGATGTGTGACCTGG